TATATCAATTGATTTCTGTTTGCCAGACCATCCTTGCATTCAAGGAAGGAAAACTACATAACTATTTCAACTGATGGTTCCTACAAAATGAAGGAAAACTACGTAACCATCTCAACTGATGGAGAAAAAAAATATGACAAAACTCAACACCATTTTATGATAAAAGCACTCAATAAACTAAGAACAGAAGAGCATTACCTCAACATAATAAAGGTCATATTTTAAAAAACAACAGCTAACGAAGGTGAGAGACTGAAAGCTTTTTCTCTAGAATCAGGAACAAGACAAGGTTGCCTGCATTCACCACTTCTATTTGAAATAGTACTGGAAGTCCTAGCCACAGCAATTTGGCAAGAAAAAGAAATAAAAACATTCCAAATTATTAAAAGGAAATAAAGTTATTATTATTTTTTTTTTTTTGAGATGTAGTCTCACTCTGTCACCCAGGCTGGAGTGCAGTGGTGTGATCTTGGCTCACTGCACCCTCTGCCTCCCAGATTCAAGCTATTTTCATGCCTCAGCCTCCCAAGTAGCTTGGATTACAGGTGTCTGCCACCATGCCCAGCTAATTTGTGTATTTTTAGTAGAGATGGGGTTTTGCCATGTTGGCCAGGCTGGTTTTGAACTCCTGACCTCAGGTGATCCACCTCCCTCGCCCTCCCAAAGTGCTGGGATTACAGGTGTAAGCCACTGCGTTCGGCCGAAATGATCTTATATGTAGAAAACTCCAAAGATTTAACACATACCCAAACACAAAAGTACTGTTAAAACTAATGAATGAATTCAGCAAAGTTGCAGGACACAAAATCAGCACACAATAATCAGTTGCATTTCTATACACTAAGAACGAGTAATCTGAAAAGGAAATTAAGAAAATTTCATGTACAATAGCATCAAAAAGAATAAAATACTTAGGAATAAACTTAACCAAGGAAGCAAAACACTTGTACACTGAAAACTACTAAATGTTGTTGCTGAAAGAAACTAAAGACACCAAATAAATGGAAAGACATCCTGTGTTCATGGATTGGAATACTTACTATTAAGATGTTAAAACTACCCAAAGCAATCTACAGATTCAATGCAATGCCTATCAAAACCCCAGTGGCTTTTTTTTTTTTTTTTTTTTTTGCAGAAATAGAAAAATGCATTCTAAAATTCATATGGAATCTCAAGGGACTTTGAATAGCCAAAACGATCTTGAAAAAGAAGAACATGAGAGGTCACACATTTCCTGATTTCACAACTTACTACAAAGCTACAGTCCGGTTCTGGCATACAGATCAATGGAGTAATATGGAAAGCCCAGAAATAAACCTCCACATACATGATCAAGTGTTTTTTGACAATGGTGCCAAGACCATTCAATGGGGGAAAGAACAGTCTTTTCAACAAATAGTGCTGGGGAACCTGGGGAACCTGGATACCAACATGCGAAAGAATAAAGCTGGACTCAGATGGGCACAGTAGCTCATGCCTGTAATTCAAGCACTTTGGGAGGCTGAGGGGGGCAGATCACGAGGTCAGGAGTTTGAGACCAACTTGACCAACATGGTGAAACCCTTTCTGTACTAAAAAAAAAATACAAAAATTAGCCTGGCTTGGTAGCACATGCCTGTAATCCCAGCTACTTAGGAGGCTGAGGCAGGAGAATCACTTGAACGTGGGAGGCGGAGGTTGCAGTGAGCCAAGACAGCACCACTGCACTCCAGCCTGGGTGACAGAGTGAGACTCTGTCTAAAAATAAAGAATAAAGCTGGGCTCTTACCTAATATCATATACAAATATTAGCTCAAAACAGATCAAAAATCTAAATGTAAGATCTAAAACTGTAAAACTCTCAGAAAAAAAAAAAAGGCAAAAGCTTCACAACATTGAATCTGACAATGATTTCTTAGATAGGACACTAAAGGCACAGACAACAAAAGAAAAAATAGTTAAATTGGATGCATTAGAATAAAAATTTCTGTGCATTAAAGAACACAATCAACAGAGTGAAAAAGCAAGCCATGGGATAGGAGGAAATATTTGCAAGTATATATAACTGATAAGACGTTAATATCCAGAATATATAAAGAACTAAAACAACAGAAAACAACCTGATTTTAAAACAGGCAAAGAACTTAGACATTTCTTCAAAGAAGATATGCAAATGGTGAATAAGCACATGAAAAGATGTTCAACATCACCACAACCATTAGGTAATTGCAAATGAAAACCACAATGAGATACCATTTTATATTCATTAGGATGGCTATTATTTAAAAATAATAATAAATGATGATTAGGAACTGGTAAAATTGGAACTCTTGTGCCTTGCTAGTGGAAACGTAAAGTGATACAGCCACTATGAAACCATTTTTGTGGTTTCTCAAAAAATTAAACAGAGTTACCATATTATCCAACAATTTCATTTCTGGGTCTGTACCCCCAAAAGAATTAGGTGCAGAGACTTGAAAAGATATTTGTATGCCTGTGTTCACAACAGTGTTATTTACAATGACCAAAGGATAGAAACAACTCAATTGCCCATCAATGTCTTAATGGATAAAGACAATGTGACATATCCATACGGTGGAATATTATTCAGCCTTCAAAAGGAAGAAAATTCTGACACATGCTACAACATGGATTAATCTTGAAGGCATTATGCTAAGTGAAACATGCCAGTCATAAAAAGACGCATACTTTACAACTCCACTTATAGAAGATACTTAGAGCAGTCGAATTAACAGAGGCAGAAAGTAGAATAGTAGTTGTCAGAGACTGAGGGAAAAGGAGAATGAGAAGCTACTATTTAACGGGTACAGAGTTTCAGTCTCGGAAGATGAAAAAATCTCTGGAAATGAATGGTGTAGATGACTGCACAACAAGGTGAATGAATGTACTTAACGCCAATGAATTGTACATTTCAAATGATTAAATGATACATTTTATGTTATGTAGATTTTGCCAAAATTAAATAAAACTTAGAATATTCAGATATGTTTTCTTCTTCTTCTTCTTTTTTTTTTTTCCAGATGGAGTCTCGCTCTGTCGCCCAGACTGGAGTGCAGTGGCACAATCTCGGCTCACTGAAAGCACTGCCTCCTGGGTTCATGCCATTCTCCTGCCTCAGCTTCCCGAGAGGGTGAGACTATAGGTGCCCACCACCACGCCCAGCTAATTTTTTGGATTTTTAGTAGAGACAGGGTTTCACCGTGTTAGCCAGGATGGTCTCGATCTCCTGACCTCGTGATCTGCCTGCCTCAGCCTCCCAAAGTGGTGGGATTACAGGCGTGAGCCACTACGCCTGGCCTTATTCTTTTATTTTTTTTGAGATGGAGTCTCACTGTGTTGCCCAGGCTGGAGTGCAGTGGCATGATCTTGGCTCACTGCAAGCTCTACGTCCCGGATTCATGCCATTCTCCTGCCTCAGCCTCCCGAGTAGTGTTTTATTCTTAGTAATCAAAAACTTGAAACAACTAAATATTCATCAACACTTAAAAGATCTGTAAATTGTGATATATGCATACAGTGAAATACTATACAGCAATGGGAAAGAAATAACTACTGCTAGAGACAACAACATGAATGAATCTCACAGACATTATATTGACTGAGACAGACATTATATTGACTGAGAAAAGTTACCCACAAAAGAATACAGAGTCCATTATCCCATTTATATGAAGTTTTAAAAGCAGGCAAAAACAGGCTATACTGATAAGTCAGGACAGTAGTGACTGATGAGGAAGCCTCCTGGGGGACAAGAAATGTTCTATATCTTTTTCTGGGTGGTAATGACACCAGTGGATACAATATGTAAAGAAAAAAAACATCAAACTACTCACATAAGATTTGTATAGTTTATGTTCAATGTAACTCAGAGTTTTTTTTGTTTTTTGTTTTTTGTTTTTGAGACAGAGTCTCACTCTGTCGCCCAGGCTAGAGTGCAGTGGCACAAACTCAGCTCACTGCAAGCTCCACCTCCCAGGTTCACGCCATTCTCCTGCCTCAGCCTCCCGAGTAGCTGGGACTACAGGCACCCGCCACCACGCCCGGCTAATTTTTTGTATTTTTAGGAGAGACGGGGTTTCACCGTGGTCTCGATCTCCTGACCTCATGATCTGCTCGCCTTGGCCTCCCAAAGTGCTGGGATTACAGGCATGAGCCACTGCACCCGGCCAATGTAGCTCAGTTTTATAAAATGAAGTGACATGGTGATGACAGAATGACAACCTCAGCTAAGACTCAGGAGGGGGCTATTGAGTAGATCTAGCAAATGTTTTAGGGGATTGTGGAGCAGGTGGGCCGGGGCTCATGCTTTCAGAAAACTGAACTAAGGAGATGCACTTTACCAACCATGGAAGAAAGTCATTTCTGACTCTGCAAAAAATTGGACTTATAATAAGCTGATCCCTCTTTTTTAGTGTTTAAGGGGAAAAATACAAGTTCCGAGTAGCCTACTGCTCTTAATATAGCACCCAGAAGCCCCAGTCTGACATAAAACAGGGCAAGGTGTAAACACAGGAGTGTACATCTTTCAGTCAACTCTAGCTCTCTAGTCCGAGAACTGGAAGAAATTTCTGCTTTCTGATATCAAGGCCATTTATGACTAAAACAACAATCCTGTGACACAACTACTTTGAACCCATATTTACAGTGGACACTGAGAATGGCCTTTCCCAACCAGGGACCACATTTGCCCGACTGGAGCATCACTATAACAAGGTCTTTGGTAACGCAGGCTAGCAAGTCCCCTGCAGAAGTTGAGTCTATAAACAGTTTAAACTGTAAAAACACGTTTTTGCTGTGGCCTCAGTTTCCAGGTCTACCTGAATGGATTCCACTCCCTATTGTGGAATATTACAGAGAGGTCCTGGGATATTTCATAAATAGTTGGAGAGCATCTTGTTCCAGGTGACTCGGCCCAGCCTAGCAATCTAGAGGCACTACCCTCCCATCAGGACACTGGCCACGTCTGAGATGTCATGGAAGAATGAGTTTCAAGCACTTACTTTCATCATTAGAAACATTCCCCAGAGATGTGTGGCTGGAATAACGTTTGTTTTCACTTTCGTTGAGACATCTTTCAATCCAGCTCTCTAAAAAGAAAAAAAAAAAGAAAGAAAGAAAAGAAAAAGAAAAAGAAAATCACAGAACTGCTGTGGGTGTTTGAGGAGAGACAGAACATCATAAATGCATTAGATTTAAATGCTCATCAACATGCATGTGGCATCTGCCCAGACTGGAATGGGATTTTACACGGAGTTCCATGTGCACCACTGCTGCTGCTGCTGAGACTGCTGAGTAGTTTGGATGCAAAATGGCTTTTTGAAGCCTCACTTGAGTATTTCTTGGTCAGATTCTACGAATTCTGGAGTATTTGTAGTACCAACTGAGGATTATCTTTCTGAGCAAAGAAGGTATGTTCCTGAGTAGCAGTTTGTAAAACCAGACTTGGTCAACTGAATCACTGGTAGTGGTTTGTAAACTTGTGAATTAGCAGCAGAACTTTTCTTCAAGTGAAAACAAAAAGAAAAACAGGTAAAACTTTAGGGACTCTGGTTGGAAGAGGACAGGGAACCTTGTAGCTTGCCTCCCTTTGGCCAGGGACCCCTCAAAGAGCTCTCACAGACTGGAAGCCATAGCAGGAAGAGAAATCAAAAGCACTATGGTAGCTATGCAGCCCCTCCCCCCTTTTTTTTTTTTGAGATGGAAGTTTGCTCTTGTCACCTAGGCTGAAGTGCAATGGCGTGATCTCGGCTCACTGCAACCTCCGTCTCCCGGGCTCAAGCTATTCTCCTGCCTCAGCCTCCTGAGTAGCTGGGAAGGCGCCCGCCACCAAGCCCTGCTAATTTTTGTATTATCAGTAGAGACGGGTTTTCACCATGTTGGCCAGGCTGTTCTCGAACTCCTGACCTCAGGCGATCCGCCTGCCTTGGCCTCCCAAAGTGCTGGGATTACAGGCGTGAGCCATTGTGCCCAGCCGCTATGGAGCCCTTTTAAAATCCAAGACTATGGGTTGTTTTTTTTTAATCCAGTTTCAAAGGCTACAAATACAAATGTATTTGTCGCAATGTAGTGTAATACTTATTCTGTTTTCTAGACCACCCACCATTCATTCATTCATTCATTCATTCATCATTCAACAACATCAGCTAAGTACAGTCAGCTCTACTATAACACTTGTCTTGAGAAAACAAATGTGTCCCAATGCAAGTGATATATTTGGGAACAATCTGAGCAGAGTGCAAACTTTGTGTCTCTTTATGCTCCATTTATTTCATAAAAAACATTAGGTGAATGCAGAAAACTCCACGCCCCTCCCCCGCCATTATACTGAGCACCACAGAAATATGCAGAACGCACTCATGTTCACACCTCAGACATCTACCAGCTACTTTGGTCCACATTGTGCTATGAGTCACACCTGCTCACTTCATAATAACTCACAGGCTGCAACCCTTCCGATACCCACCTCTAAAGGCAATCTTCAGGTCTTTTCCAAGGTGAAGTGCCATTTTTATTGGATTTGTGTATTTCTAAACCATTTAACATGTGCAAAACTGTGATATCATTTTTATTAGGTTTCTGTCTTTTATTATGTGTCACTGACAAGGTTTTTCAGTATTGTGGCCCTAAGCTTATTTTTCCAGTAAAATCAGTGGTCTTTGTTGGCTGATTCTGTATAATGTGGAAGGCATATGGGGTGTTATAGCAGAAATGGCTACACCTATGGCTGCAGGCTTTTGGGCAGTGTGGTTCCCCATTGCCTTCTTTATGATCTGGGAGCTGGTATTTATTGTACACCTATTTGAACATGCCAGCCCTCTGCATAAGTTATTTCATTGAATCTTCACAACAACTCTCTGAAGCAAGGATTTTAATCTCTATTTTTCCTAGAAAGCAACTGGGATTTAGAGGGATTAAGTAATGTGACTCTTCATAATTCAAAGAGCTGAGGAAAAGATCATTAGTTAACACCTTAGGTTACACATTGTAAAAAGAAGCCACGTAGACGAGTAAGCTATGTGGAGAGGGGAAATCAATGTCAACAGCCGGGAGAGATGTCGGATTTTTGTTTTGTTTTGTATTTTATGTCCCAACAAACTGCTCTTTTAAAAGCTGCTTCCAAAATTGTGAATAAGTAGGGGGAAAATATCTGAGGGGAGGAACAAGGGCCAGCTTGTTGAGAGGATATGGAAATCTGATATTTCCCAGGAAATACTGAGGAGCAGAGACATTCAAAACATTAAAACGCTGCCCCTTCCAGATATCGAATGCACAATGTGGAGACAGACAGCTTGTAATGTTTCAAAGCTGGGGGTAGGTGTCTGTCATCACACTGTATCCAAACGCATATCTGCTTACAAATCTCCAGAATTCGTTTCAGGATTCTCCAGAATGTCTCCACTTAGATCTTCTCATCCTTTCAATTCCTGGCTCATTTTCCCTGGCAGCAGCCATGGCTACATGTAGATGGCATCTGCTGAAGTTGGCAGCCCCTGCCTCCACCAAACCATACCATCAAAAGCAATATCTATAGTTCTGGGCCAACCCCTGGTCTTCCTAGATAGGTATACACACCCAGTCACTCTCACACGCACTCACATCTACACCCCAATCCCCACATTGTCAGAAACAGGAACTAAGGGAAGCACTCTCCCTCTCACCCATTTGCCTGCGCTGGATTCAGGCCTGTTAACATCAGAGTCCTTAGAAGGGCCTGTTCTCGCAGGTGAGAACCCCCGTGACTGGTGGGACATTCTCTGAAGAATTTGTGGCAACATTCCCGAGACGAGCTTGTTCTAATAACCAGGTAAGCCAAGAGAGCACAGCGCCCACCCACAAGAGCTCAAGTAAAGAAAGAACTTTCCTGACGGCAGCACCTGTCCTCCACACTGTGCAATCCCACATTGGAGAGAGATGAAAGCAAGGCTACGAGAAGTGGGAGAGGGTGGGAGGTACCGTGAAAATGAAAGAGAACACATCTCACCCATCGCACCCACTCAGATCTCTCTGACCCAACAGTCTATGCCTGTAGCCAACTGTGCTCCCTGGGGCAACCCACAATAAGTCTGGTCTCACTGGCACATTGCAGATATGAGAAGATAACCATCATTTCCCCATATTTCTGGCTGAAGTACCCCCATCAAAGAACTGCATTGTTTCACCTCTTTCTTGGAAAAAAATGTTCCCATTTCTTTGCCATCCAGTTCACCTGCTTCTGGGTGTCTTCTAGTTAATCAATGTCCATGTGAACACGTGGCACTTGGGATAGACTCTGAGGGTTCAGACCATGGTGTGAACAGTGAAAGAACCATCACCTGTGTTGTTCTGGACAGTTGGAGTTCTCATGCATTCAAGGGTCTTGCATTCCAGACTATGTGGATGCAACACTCTGAGATATCCAAACCAGATACAGGCCTTGAATCTGCAGGGGCACTTTGACCTTTGTCTTCTTCCCTAGTGGAGCTCTTAGGAGTGGCATCTCCAATTCATGTCTCATAAGCCAGGTAGCTTCCTATGACTGGAAGGCCTCTCTTTAGGTCAGCTGAAGTCAACGTTATGTACTTTAAAATTATTTTTAACAATGGATTTCGGTCTTGCAGAGGTCAAGAATTACTTGGGCAGAATGACATGTATACTGAATTTTGAATGAAACACTGTGTTCTTCCACCTTATTGATTTGTAGGTGATGTGATTTTATAATAATAAAGTTCAGTATATATTGAGCTCTCACTATGGGTGAGGTATCATATAACTGCATTACATACATCATCATACTTAATACTTATTACAGTCCTAGAGGTGGGTGCTATTAATAGGCCCATTTTAGAGATAAGAAAACTAAGGCTCAGAGAGATTCAGTGACTTGTCCAAAGTCATCTGGCTAGTAAGAGGAAGACCAGCATTCAAACTCAGGTCATAATCACAATGCTCTCTCCAAATGTGAACTGAGCTTTCTCCTCCTATGTCCCATTTAGTCCTCAGAACAATGTGCCAATTCTGCGGCATTTTTCTCAGTCTGCTTTGTATTCGAAGTTTTGCTAAAACTCTACTTATATAATGCGCTAAATTCATTTACATATTTTTTGTCAGCCTTTGTCACACACAGAAGCCTCTTCAGTTTAGAATTTAAACCTCTTAAGAATGGAGCCTGTTTTATTCTATTTCTTTTGACTCTCCACTAGTACTGTTATAAAGTTTTTCCTGTAGTCTGGCCTCAATAAGTGTTACATCAGTGACACATATGTCAAAGAATGCATAGCTTATAAGTAGATACATCCACATATCTATAGAATTTCCTAATCATTTTCTCTCTCTTTTTTTTTTAACCGCATAGGCATGGAAAAGTATAACACATCAAAGGTGATTTTCCAAATAAAGCAAAATTCAACACACATTTATTTTGTGCCTTCTAGATGCAAGAAGCTGTGCTAAAGAGAAGCTGTAGTGGCCAGGCGCAGTGGCTCATGCCTGTAATCCCAGCACTTTGGGAGGCTGAGACAGGCCGATAAAGACCAGCCTGGCCAATGTGACGAAACCCCGTCTCTACTACAAATACAAAAATTAGCTGGGTGTGGGTGGCATGCACCTGTAATCCCAGCTACTCAGGAGGATGAGGCAGGAGAATAGCTTGAACCTGGAAGGCAGAGATTGCTGTGAGCTGAGATTGCACCACTGCACTCCAGCCTGGGTGACAGAGTGAGACTCCATCTCAAAAAAAAAAAAAAAAAAAAAAAGAGAGCAGTTGTAGTGATATAAACATGAACAAGACTGGCTTCTGCCCTCTAGTTACCAAGTAGAAAGTAAGGCATGTGCTACCGCCTGAGCTCATGAGTGCAGGACCCTGTCATTTTTGTCCATCATCTCACACCCAGTGGCTGGCCCTGTGCCTGGCTCCATAGATGTTGCACAATAAATACATGTTTTTTCTAAAAAATTAAGTTCCTATTGAGTGCCAGGTACTATAGAAGCCATTTTCACATATATTGTCTAAATTGGACCCAGAACAACATTACATGTCATGTTTTCATATCTCTAATTATAGATATGGAAAGTTAGGCTTGAAGCAAAAGTTCTAAAGGAAGGCAGACTG